AGTAAAAGAGGACTGAGGTCTTCCCCAACAAGAGTATTATCTATCACCTGCAGTAAAATTCATTTATTAGGTTTGACATAGATATGAGAGTCCAGTTGAACGCTTCTTTAAAAAAGTCAGTACTGTGAGACTCACAACAAGTCAGAGTACAGGAAACAAGTGTCAGTCAGGTGCTCAGCCATAAACAGCTGTCATACCCTCTACCACAAGACTCAGGGAGCATCACTGAAGAGGGAGCTGAACAAAGATCGGGGAGGACGAGGGTGAAACAGCGTCTTCTGCGCATGACAGAAACTCACAGCAGCTGTGACCGCCTGCACAAGGCTGTACCAGATCAAGACAGTCAGCATACCAGCATGGAAGGGGGCGGTCTCATAAGCCCCTACCCCTAACTGTGGAGCTGTTGACTGTTGATGGTGCGAAGGGAGGGAGAATCAGTTTTCTTTAGGGGTATGGTTCCTGGTGGATTGACCATGCTCCGGTGGGATAGCCTCACACTCATGTATTTATGGACAGCACAAATTGGACTTGGTGAGTTATTTTTAAAGAAGACATGGAATTGGGAGTGGGAGGGAAATATGAGGGAGAATCCAGGGGGAGGTGGAAGAGGGGTAGTAGAGGGTAAATATTACTGAAACATATTGTGTACATGCATGAATTCTCAAACAAAACAATTTTAAGTAAAAAAAAATCAATACTATGTTTAAGAATAGTCACCAAAACTTCTCATGTACCATCTCATGCATGACTTTTGCAAGTGTAAGAGACAAAAAATGCAGACACCAAAAAGTACGTCGACATGATTCCATTTATATAGTGTTTTTTAAAGACAGAACTAACCAATGGTATTAGATGTTAGTTAACAATGCTGACTAGAGAGATGATATTGACTTAAATTGTGCTCATCCATCAATCTGGGAAGGGCCTACACAGATGTGCACACAGGTAAGGGATCATGGGATTGCAGTCTTGAGGTTTCTTTACCAGATGTGATTTTGGTCCATGGGCTCTATCTAGGTATGGCAGGAAGAGTTCATGCTACTGATAGCCTGAGCTTTTAAGTCATATTGTTATTAGTATCCATATCAAAGCAAGGGGTTTCGAAAAACTGAGCTCTCTTTCACATTTTAAGGTTCACGTAGAGCAGATGCGCTTAGTTGAGATGCTTGTTCCCTGATTAATGCGTATTTGTGTAAGGAATCTGGCCTCCTAAATATAAGAAGCATTGTTGTTACAAAATACTGGCATGAAATTTCAGAGTGAAACTCTGACAAGTCTTGGCAAAAAAGGAAATCAGACAGAGGGTACCCTCGCCAACATCTGCTAGCGCCATTATCCCAAAGTTTCGGTGGCTTACAGCAATGCATATTTATCTCTTGCTTTGGTTACATCAGAGGTCTGGGTTGACTGTCGGTGTACTGGAAACAGCTATTTGATTTTATATTGGAGTGCCCTGATTGCTTTTGTCTTCAGGAGTTCCCAAAAAGGCCCAAGTCAGATGAGGATCAGATGCTCTCATGCTTTCTCCTAAGGTCTGGATCCCTCCAGGAAAGATTTTGGCCTGAGGATTTTGGGGCTTGTACTGGCCTGGGAGCTGGGCCCAGGAAAGATGCTGATCTGGGGCAGCTGGTGGCCGTGCCTCCCCAGGATACAAAGGAAGATGGGGGCGGGAAGTGGCCCCAAGGGCTCCTGGGGACTGCACTGAGGAGCTGGGTTGGTCTGGATGCAAAGGACCAGAGAGAGGAAAGGTCAGCCCAGGCGTCCAGGAAAGATGCTGGCGGGTTGTGCAGACTCAGGGAAGCAGAGGGAGGTGACTGTGGGGGGGGGGCAGGCCCAGAGTGCCCCTGGGGACCCGAGAAGGAACTGAGTTGTTCTGGATGTAAAGGATCAGGCAGCAGTGGTGGTTCCCCAGGTGTCTGGGGTGCCAAGACAAGGAATGGGACAGGACCCAGCCTAGGAGGAGAGAGGGGTGGGGGAGATGGGAGGGTGAATGAGACTGGGGGTGTCAAGGCTCGACTTAACCTGGAGAGAGGCCTGTGGGTAGTCTGTTGTCTTTTTACATTTGTCCTCAACTTATCAGAATTCTTCTAGTACTAAAAGAAAAAATACATGCTCTAAGAAAGTTGGTGCCATTATAGTCCTAAAGATTTCTCTAAAAAGATTTCCTCGGCTTTAGAAAACATGGGGACTGTTGATTCATAATGAGGAGAAAATGCATTGTATTTCTATATGAATCATGGTTGTTCTCTTATGAATCAGTTTTACTTAGTCACAGACTAGCCATCATCTCACATGGTGAATTCCATGGTCATGAGAGAAATGGGATTGATGAACATACTCTGTCTCCAGAACAGTGTAGGTGAAGTGTGTGCAGCCAGTGCCATTCATCAACACAAAGCAGTCACAGTAGCCAGGTTGGAGACATCTTCGCATTTATGTAGCATGTACAATGTCATATCCTCCCTCTCTCATGGTCTTGATTACATGTGATGTGTAATCACATGCAGTCATGTGATGAATCTGAATTAAACCAAATTTAGTAGTGAAAATCTTACAAGAACCAGATGTTTATACATGTTATTTATTCAGCCCATCAACAACTCCATGAATATAGTCATTATTTCCCTATTTCATAGACAAGAAAGTTGAAGGTTAAGATAATTTTCCAAGGTCTTAAATTGTAATCCCAGTCCTTAGCCACCTACATTGTCCAATCTTTGATTCCATGGAATATTTTTATGAAATCATCCAGTCATTTGCTACTTTGCAGCAGATACGTTTTGAGCCCTTTCTTGTACTACATTCTCCTCGTGTGAATCTACTTGTGATTTCTTGACCTTGTTTCCACACTTGCACTAGCTGAGAGAAAATCACACAGTGATGCTTAACAGTAGATTCTCCACACCTGACTCTCCCCACTAGTATTCTCACACAGATCTGTGGTGCTAGTGAGCATTTGTAAAGATGAGAACGCTCATTCATCAATGTTGGAGGGTGTGTAAATATTGTTAAAGGATTTTCTTACACAACTTGTGTCTTTGTTATTATATGTAAAAGGACTTTAGCAGTATGAAATGTAAAACACAATTTTTATATTTGTTTCAAAGCTCAAAACAAGTAGCTCTTTGAATGTCGCCCCTGTTTCCTGTCCTTTTAGTGTATCCCTATGAGTGGAATTGCTGGATCACATAGTAATTCTGACTTTACTTTTTTTAATGAACTGCAACAATATTTTCCATGGTAGCAATACTATTTTATGTTTCTACCAGTAGTACACAAGGTTCTCACATCTCCATCTTCATGACAGCATCAGCACCTCATACTTCTGGTAGCCATCATAATGGAACCTTGAGAACGCTGTGCTGAGGGAAATAAGACCATCACAAAAAGACAAACACTGTATGATTCCACTTCTTGAGTTACTTAGAATAGTTGAAAGTCATAGAACAAAAAGTAGAAAGGCAGTAGTACTACTAGGAAAAGAAAAGGGACTGCAGTGAGGGGGAAACAGAGTTGCTCCTTGATACATCCAGAGTTTTAGTTTCACAAAAATGAACAATTATGGAGGTGGATGGCAGTAACATTTGTTCAACATTATGAATGTATGTTTTACCAGTGTAATGTACATGTAAAATTGTTAAGATGGCAATAATGTACACGTAAAATTGTTAAGATGGCAAATTTTACATTGAATATATTATGCCTAAGAAAAAATAATGGAATTTTTTCTTTTAAAAAATTCATATTTTATAAGTGTTTTGTCTACATATATGTAAGTGAATCCATGTGTGCAATGCCAGCAGAGGCCAGAAGAGGGCATCAGATCCTCTGGAACTGGAGTTACTGACTGCTGTTATCCACCATGTGGGTGCTGGGATCCAAACTTGAGTCCTCTGCAAGAGCAGCTAGAGCTCTTTAACTGCTGAGCCATCTCTCCTGCCCCAAGAAAAAATAATTTAGTAAGCAGACATCCAAATGACCTTTAGTAAGCCATTAGGTAAGTAATTTTAACTGTTAATAACACATGGTCCTTGAAGGCCTAGCACCCATGTACCATCAGATAATTGTTTGTTGATCACCTGTGTGTCAGTGAGATTGGGGTGGGCTCCTCTGCTCAATGTTTACACACAGTGTCCAGAGCTTCTATCACCACCAGCCATAGAGCTAAGGTTCTGGCTTCAACTGCCCAGCCAGGAAAGGATGAAAGAGAGGGGTTTTCTTTTTCCCTGCCCCAGCACAGAAGTAGCATGTCACTTTAGCTTGCATCCTTTTGGTCAGAACCAGCAGTTCCAGCTAACCATTCCAAGATAGCTGGAAAATTGATTTGCTTGTGTAACTAGAAGGAAATGCAAATTAGTGCTATAGTATCTAGTTAGTACCCTCCTACTAACTAGACTTCTATTCCATTCTTTACACGAAGTCCCTCTCAGAGTCGCCTCCATCTGAAAGGCCAGGATTTCCAGGTGAAACACAGCCCTCTCCACCAGGTTTGGGTATGGCTTCTCTTTGCCTACCAGTGTATGCATTAAAAAACAGTGTACTTCCTTACCCCCTCACAACATAAAATGAACTGTCATAAGTACTCCCATTCAGAAAGGGAAAGTAGGCAGAAAACAGCAATTGGTGTTGCTGCTTTGTAAGTACTAGAAGGACCTTGTGAAGACCCTGACCTTCAGTAATGGGATTGCCCTGATTAGGCTGCTCTACTCTTAACAGACCTACCTTGTAAATATATTGCTCTGGAGAGCCTCTGCTTCCATTCCTTAGGGGATTCATGTTAGGCTAACCCGAAGTGGGCTTTATGAGGAGGGCATGCCATGTTCTCTATTTGCTGCCTGCAGGTAGTTTCTGGATATGAGAGGTTGTTTTGCTTTGCTTTTAAATAGTGTTGTTGCCCTTTAGTGGTTTTCAGGTCTGTTTGGCTCCAAGGACCAAATTCAGAGTTCTTTGTTAGACAGTCTCCTTGAGCTGTTTGCTTCCCTTACCTTGTGAGAGCAGTGACCTAATATATAAGGAAGACATACTTGGCATATATGAATTTGCAAGACATTAAGCCACTCTTTTCAGCCGAGGAGTCTAATGAAATTTTGTTTCTCATACCATTTTTCTAGGGTGAGTCTTCTTGCTGATACCTAGACACAGAGTCAGCCCAACAGGCTTTGAATTTCTAAGTCTTCTTCATTTCAGCTGTGTAGAAGGGAGCCCATTTCTTTCTTGGGTGTGTCTCTTTGGGTTTTCATTGTGGTAGTTTTGTTTTGTTTTATTGTAGTATCTTGTTGAAAGTGCCTAATAGCAGCCAGCACTTAACATTGTGTCCTCTCCAGGTTTGTTCTGCCTTACATGCTTTTGGGGTGACAGATTTGCAAATGGTTTACACCAAAACATAATTTAATGTCTCTAGCCTCTGCCATCAGGGTCCTGCCACCTAAAACCTGACTAAGCCACTGCACAGGACTCTGTCCTGCCATCCTAGCATTCAAATTTAAAGTCAAGAACTAGTAAATGGCTCCATCTGTAAATATCCTAGGCTAACCAGAATTGCAAATAATGTATTTTACATAGTAACTTAATTTGAATAGTTACAACTCATATCTTTCAAAACAGGGATATATAACTGAAGAACTTTGTAAATTAACTACATGTAGTTTACTCTGTTTTGTTTTATAGCTCTAAGAAAATAACTGACAGTAAAAAAGGTGAATATGTGAGCTCTTCACTCCATGAGATGAATGCAAATGTTGTATCCCAAGACCCAAGGCTTACAAACCAGTTTTCCAGAAAAAATGATGAAAATACAGTTTTACAAAAGACAGCAATTGAGAGTTTGGAAAATAGCTGTCCAACAGTAACTGCTACAGAAGAACATATTGATAAAATGTACCTTGATATTTTGAGGGAGAAAATAGCTATTAACCCTTCATTATTGCCTCAGGAATGCAAAACTAATAAAGTAAGTATTTATAACCTAGGCTGATTTGCTGTTGAGAAGTGAAGCTATAGAGAATCTGAGTATTGTGAGTCTGTGCTTCTTAAGCTAGTGGGGCTGATGCGATACTAAACTCTAGGTCCTACATGTCGTTGCTGAGGCTTATTACTGAGGCTTATTATCAAACCTTCCGGCCTCCAAATTCAAAAATACCACCGTAACATTAGCTTTCTTTCAGAAGCAGTTCTTTATATTTTTTCCCCTTCGCCCCACCCTTTACCTTTTCTCTTAGTAACTAATTTAGGATTTGGACAGCTTAAAAGATTTAAGTTTCTGTCTTGGTGGTACTCATCATTTGGCCCTCCTACAGTTTGTACTGTAGGCAAGTTGGCATTTTATAGGAATGCTATTAGCAGCTACGACAAAACTTCTGTTTAAGCTGTTAATCTAATTTTGAATTACGTATTTCCTATAAAACACCTACAGTTCTTTGTGGAATGAGGCAAGATATTGTATTAGTTACTTTATTGATAATGTGATAAAATACTTTGCAAAAAACAACTTAAGGGAAAAAGAGTTTATTTAGCTCCAGTTCAGGATACAGCCAAGCATGTGGTTAAGTCAAAGCAGCAGAAGTAGTCAGATGAAGAAAGCAGTGAATGGCAGCTGCAGCTCAGTTCCCTTCCCGTGTATATTGTCCAGCATTCTAGTCATGGAATGCTCGGTCTTCTCACTGCCATCAGGATAATCCCCCACAGGCATGTCCCAGGCCCATCTCCCACATAGGCTCTGTCAAAGTGACAATGCTAACCACCACAAATATTAATAATTTTTAAAGCATTTTAAGTCCAAAGACAGGAAAGATAATATTTCAGTCATCATTTCAGAATATTCTTCCTTGATGTCTTCTGTTCATCCTGTTAGTCACTCATCTCGCTGTGTGGCAACTTTATTTTGCTTTATTGTTTTGAATTAACTACCTTAATGATAACTGAAGGTATGCTTCAAAACACTATAATTCTAGTCAATTAGAGAACTTTGCTATATCATTTGCCTTTCACAAACATTATTTGGTACTCATTTTGCTACTCATCATTTGCTACTCATTATTATTTGCTACTCATTATTTGCTACTATTTTGCCATCTGTTAGTCTTCATTAACAGCAATAGTTGAAGTTCATTTATGTAGTAAAGAGTTTGTTGTATGCAGACTTTCAGATCTCAGCTCACTTTTGGAGAAGAGGATGCTGTAGCTGGTAAACAGGTGCCGTGCAAGAAGGCCAGAAGTGCACCTCCTCTGCTTAAAAGGAAAATGCAGAGTGGATTGTATGCATCAGTTAGGAGCTCAGGCTATGGCAAACCCAGTTCACCACTCAAGTCATTTTCTGCTTTTGAAAAGAAAACTTCAAAGGACATTATGAAAAGCAAAAACATGAGATCCATTCCCCCTTCAAAGCAAGCTAGGAAAAAAGGTAAGGGTATATTCTTTTCAAGGTAGAATTCGATGCATACGACATATTAAGTCTGTTTTTGTAGAAGAGGCTCTTGAACTATATTCCTTTTTGAGAAGGTTCAGTTTACAGCTTTCAACCTGGGATAGTGGCAGTGAAGACAGCGAAAAGTGGTTAGACAAGGATATGTTTAAAGGTAGAACCAAAATATGAAACAGGTTTTGAGTCTCTAAAGTTTTTGGCCTAAACAACTAAAAGAATGGAACTACCACTCCCTGGAATGAGGAAAGCTAAGGTAAATTTGGGACCACAGTGAAGACCAGTTTAGTTTTTGAGATGATAACTGTAGGATGCCTAGTTGACTTGTAAGTAGAGATAACAAGGAGGCAGTTACATCCAAAGTCTGGAACACAAGAGGAATTATGGACTCGAGATGCCATTTGAGAAATATTGTTGGACTAGAGAGATGATTTTTTTCAACATGACAGTCCCTGAGAATGAGGACAACTAAGGAGTAAACACAACCAAGTCCAGGGGCACAGGCATGCTAACTGTAGGAGATGGGGCAGAATGAGAATGGTCTTTAAAGCAGGTGGAGTAAGGTGGGAGGAACTGTGATGAATGCTAAATCCCCAGTGAAGGGAAAGTGTCTTTCAGAGGGTCTGTTCCATCACTGCCTGCTTCTGGTGAATTCTTTCTTTTGGCTTTTCTGTGTTTTACAAATATTTTAAAAATTTTTTAATTTAAAAACTTTTAAACAACATTTTGAAGAAATCATTTTAAAAATACAAAGTTCTCAAAGTTGTTTGTCTCTAAAGTGATATTTTAACAGACTTAACACGTTTGAATATGGGCTTTAAGATTCCATCTGCATATGTCCCCTACACATTTCTTACTGCTACCTGAACAGTAGATTGGCCTCAGAATTGTTTCCACTCTTTGGAAATTTGAAGTTACTGTAAAAGTAGAAGATTAGGACTGAATATTCATTAATTGCATTCTTTTCTGATTTGCTATATGGTACTATTATAGCAATATGATTAATCTTTTGAAATCAAATTCAGGTTAGCTATTACAACATCCTCTGCAGTGTACATTGTTTGGGACTCTGATATCTTGTCCCAGTGTATATGAAGTGGCTGAAGGCACAGTGAATTGAAGATGCTTCATGTTACCAGCTCCCTTCTCTGATTCGTCATACAGAAAGTTTTATTACCATGAACATCATAAAAAATAATTTATTTTAGAGTAAATAAACTGAAAGTTGTCCTGTACCCTGCTTCAGTCTCCTTGCATTTATTTAGCTCCATTCATTTCCTGCATCCAGTGACGCTGAGTAGAAGTTGGAGTGGGTGGCTTTTGGGAGTGCAGTGAGCACAGTGGGATGGCAGTGGTGAAGTATACGTCAGCCTATTTACCGATCTCCATTTTATCTTAGCATTGCTGCCATTTTCATATTTATTGTTCCACCATCCAGTGACTGAGTAGAAGTTGGAGTGGGTGGCTTTTGGGAGTGCAGTGAGCACAGTGGGATGGCAGTGGTGAAGTATAGGTCAGCCTCTATACCGATCTCCATTTTATCTTAGCATTTCTGCCATTTTCATATTTATTGTTCCACCGTTACTGAATGCACATTCAACTTAACATTTGTGATGCTTTCTTCTGTTCTTTGCAATATTTAGAAATGTTATCTGGAACAAAACTCATCAAGCCTGCAGCTTTGAGTAAACCAGCTCCCCAAACTGAAAGTTGCCTGGCTACACCTAAGAAGTCTGAGGACCCACAGGGGATTCTTTTGTTCAGTTTCAGACATGCCGCAGAGGTCAGAAGAGGGCTTTGGATTCCCCTAGAACTGGAATTAAGGATGGTTCGTGGCCGCCATATGGGTGCTGGGAATCGAAATGCAGGTCCTCTGCAAGAGCAGTCATTGTTCTTAACCGCTGAGCCATCTCTCCAGCCCCTTGAGTTTACAATTTTTATGTTCTAAAATCATGTTAAAACTAAATTATAAGATATATGATCTCTTGCATACTGCTGTATGCATGGAAGAAAATGAATTTGATGAAATATAAACATGAGATTTCTTTCCTTCCAGAATACTTTAATCACTTACTGATTTTCTTTGTAGCAGAACAGTATTAAGCATGCCATTTCTGTTCTTGACTCTGTAACTGTATTCTAGTCTTAAATACACAACCATCATAATGACCTGCCATTTCTTCTTGAAAGGAATCTTCGAGACACTGCACTGGGAGCAAAGAGACAGAGCTGAATATGTTTAAAAGAGGTCGGGAAGCAGAAGAAGAGTGGAGGGGTGCACAGGCCCTCAGGGAGCAAATTAAAGTCATGCTCTCCGAAAAAGAGAAGGAGGTGGAACATAAATTGGAATCCCTGAAGAGACAACAGGAAAAAGAACTCTTTAAATTAAATCAGGAAAACTACATTCTTCAAGCCAAGGTACTGAAGCATATCACCCTGTTTCCCTTTACACCTACTGGAACATTGACTGCCTCCTGCTACAATCATTGCCACCTTAGGTTCCTGGAGCTGTTTGACTTGATGTATTTGTATTTGCAAACTTGGTTCTGGAGAGTGCATCCCTACAGGAGAGTAACATGAACCCATGGGGGAAGCTAAGCTGGCTCTTTGATGATTTTCCTTTATTAGCTGTCCGTTTAAAAATAAGCCAGTCAGCTCATTATGACCTCCAGAGAAATCAGTTTTAGCAAGAACTGCTGTAGAACATCTAGACTCAGAGTGCTCGCATAGAACTTCTGAGTCCTCCTTTCACAGAGCATCACTGGCTGACTGGTTGTAGCACACCCTGGTATGCTGAGCACTGCTTCTCTCCTCACTTCTCACTTCATTCTTCTCTATAAATTAGACATTTCTGTATTTTCTTAAAGTTAAGTAGCTTTGAAGAAACAAGCAGAAAACAAAGATGGTTACAGTTTGGAGAGGCATCTGATCCCATTACTGGAGAAAAACTGAAGCAAATCCAAAAAGAGATAGGAGAACAAGAGACCCTCCTTCAAGGCTATCAGCAGGCTTGGCAGTTCTTCAGCCTCCTTAGAAACTAACCTGATTTTCCTTAGCTGTCTATGTTGTTTTGCAATAATCTTAGCTAGTTTTGGTATTCTATTCAGAAATAGTAATCTGAATTCAATTCCTAACACCCCAGAGGTGAACTTTTTTTTTTTTCTAATGTGGGTTCTGTTTGTTTATAGGGGCAGGTATTTCCAATTTGTAACAGCTGGACAGGTTTAAGACGTTCTCTTCCCTCTCTGCCTCTATTTATGTCTTATTCCTCCTCTCTTGTCTTTCCCTCTCTTTACACTCTTCTCTTTTACAACTGTCATCTGAGCTCTGAGCCAGTCATCACCCTGGGAAGAGTGAGAGAAGGCATTGGCTATCAGGGTGCTAAATGGCTTTGCAGGGCATTGCCCTCAGTGGGAGCCTTCACATTCTCTAGCTGCCATCCAATCTTGTCATGCAGAGAGAATGTTTTAGGATTTCACAGACCCTTAACTATGTGAGCTGTCCTCTCAGAAGACAATGTCATCCTCAGAAGCTCTTTGTTTACATCAGACTCTTAACATAAGCATGTCGTAGGCCAGAACATCTCATCACAGACTCATTTGTCTACTTACCTCACTGTTGGAGGCCAGGCTCCTGAAATCTTTCTCTAGTCCTGATTTCCCCCACAGGCCAAAAGCAGAAGAGATCTTACTGGACCCTCTCACCCCTGGCCCACATAGGTAATAGGATGTATTGATTCAGGCAGCTGCTCTCCTCTTGCATTTATACTTGTGAAATGCCACATAACACACTGACACTGGGCTCTTTATATGGGGAAATTTTACAACCTTTATTTTTTCAAGTAAACATTTTAAGCATTTCAGAAAGAATTTGTTTTGGTTAACAAGTTTTCTTCTAAGATAATAGAAGGTGTTTGAAGAAGTTTGTGTATTTAAGCCATTTATCTATTTACATTTCATGCTACATAAGTATTACTAACTAAATTTTTTTTTCTGTTTTTAAAAAGGAAAATGAAAGATTGTATAATCAAGTAAAAGATCTCCAAGAACAAAATAAGAAAAATGAGGAGCGAATGTTTAAGGAAAATCAAATTTATTCAGCGAGTTAGCGTCTCTAAAGTATGTCCTTGTGAAATTCTTTATTATCATTATAATTTTTTTGTGTGTATGAATGTATTGCCTGCATGTATGTGAGTGCACCCATGTTGTACAATGGTGCGGAGATCAGAAGAGGGCTTTGGATTCCTCTGGAACTGGAGTTAAGGATGGTTCGTAGCCACCTTGTGGATGCTGGGAATCGAACCTGGGTCCTCTGCAAGAGCAGTCAGTGCCCTTAACCACTGAG